CAGCCTGGGTGACAAGAGTAAAGCTCTGTTTCAACAACAACAAAGAATGGAGAGTTGCTGATGACAGCTGAACCTAGCTCCAGAAACCCCTGAAAATCCGTTTTTCAGTTACTTGAGCTAATAAGTACCCTATCTCCATCTTTTTGTCTTTTCTTTTCTTTTTCTTTTGCCTTTGTTGTGGGTCTCCCTGAAGATCCAGTCTCCACTAGGATTTTCAGGGCAGGCAAAAACTCCAGCCTCACACATACACATATTCTCAGGTTTCAGAAACGTGGGCAGCCCGGGGCCAATCAAGGATGTGAGAATGGATCCAAGGAGCACCCCCTCCCCAACACCCTCACAGCCCCTCCATACTGATGCTGACGAGTTGAATGTTGGTTTGGTCCGAGCCTAAGGGGTTGGTGGCTGTGCATGTGAAGAGGGCATAATCCTGGGCTGCAGACACGTTGGCAATGGTCAGGAGGCTGCTGTGGACACCACCCTGGTGGTATGTGTGCTCTGTGTACCTAGAGAGAAGGTAGGGCACTACTCACCCTTTCATTCACCCAACCACTTATGCTTGGAATCATCTATACAGACATCCATTCATTTAACCATCTGCCTATCTATCCATTCATCCATTAATCTTTTCATTCACTCATCCATCACTGACTCATTCCTCCACGCATTCATCTTCCTTCTCTGCACCCTTCTCTGCAGGGACTCGGGGAGGGGAAATGGGGCTGGAGGTCCAGACCTGGGGCTGGAGTGCTGCCTGGCTGGGCCTGGGCTCACCTGGGATCTTGGAGATCCAGAGGGACCCCATTTTTGGTCCAAGTGAAAACGATGTTGGGGACACCTCGGGCACGGCAGTGGAGGGTGGCAGAACTGGTGCTGTCTCCAGCTGCAGCCACCTTAGTTAGGGGAGTGGGGTGTTCCACCTGGGGGGCAACTGGGAGGGGATGGGAGGTCAACATGAGCTATGTGGGAGACATGAGGGCTGTGGGTTCAGTGGCAGGTTTTAAAGTCAGGTGTTTGGGTGATACCCACATCTGACAACAAGACGGACCAGCCCTCGTGCTGGAGGCGCCACCCCGTTGTCCACGATGCACTGGTAAGCACCAGCCTGGGCCAGTTTGGCCTGGTGAATCCGCAGGCGCCCCGTGGGTCCCTTGGATATCTTCTCCATGTCATCCAGGCTCTGGTCCTCCTCATCTTCTCCCTGGAGGCCCGAGTCAAGAATTGGCCTCCCAGTCTAGCCCCAGATCCATCACTGCCCAAACTGTCCCTTTTGTAGCCTCATTCTCCTAGACACAATCACTCTCCACAGAGGTATTGAAGAAAAAAAAATAATTCTTCTGTCATCCATCTATCCATTTACCCAATCCATCTTTTTATCCACCAATCCAGGCAACCACCTACCCATCCATTCACCCAACCACTTATGCTTGGAACCATCTATCCATCCATCCATTCATTTATCCATCCGCTTATCTATCCATTCATCCATTTATCTTTCCATCCACTCATCGGTTTACTCACTCATTCCTCCACCCATTTGTCTTCTTTCTCTGCACCCATGTATCCACCTTTGTAGCTCTCCACCCATTCACCCAACTATTCACTCATGCTTGCACACCCATAAATACATGCATCTGTTCAGACATTTACCCAGCTACCTATTTATTCATCTCTCCATTGATCTTTCCACCCATCTATCCATCAATTCATCCATCATCCTTCCATAGATATCTTTCCTCTGCTGGTGTATCCATCCATCCATCTACCCTCTATCTATCCACTGATTTTTCTCCTTCAATCATCTTCTCACCCATCCACTCACCCATTTATTCATCCTTTCACTTGTCCATCTGTTCCTCCATCCACTCACTCATTCATCCACCTGTTCATCCACTTACCTACCTATCGACCCATCTATCCATCTACCCACCCACTCGCCTGACTGTCTACCATTCATCCATCCATTCATTTTGCCACCAACAGTTATTCGTTCTGGGAGCATGCCCTGACGAGTATATAGTTATACAGGATCATACAGATGTACGTGGTCCCCACTCCCAAGGAACTCACAGTCAAGAAACCACAACCCTTTGACCCCACCTCCATTCACCAAAGGCTGGGTCCTCACCAGTCTCTCCCAGCTGAACATGCCTGGGAGGATGGGATTGGCATCAACAGTGCAGACTATATCCACAGACCCGACGTTCACCTCAGTGGGGTCCTGGAGGGCACGGATGGTGGGAGCATCTGGTGGAAGGCAGAGGCTTGGGGAAGGCACTTGGGAGCAGACAGGTCTCCGTGGGAGAGGGCCCCAGGTGGGAGGGATGTCTTAGGGGTTCCAGGAAAGTTAGAGATATGGACACAATCTGCCCTTAATACGAAACAGTTGGAGGAGAGTTCTCAAGGTTGGTGAGTTGTCTCCACCCTCCACTATGCCTCTGTGATAGAGTGGGTTGGGTGGGCTTCCCAGAATTGTGCGGGGGGAGGGCCTTCTACAACGGGCTCCCATTCCTGACGGGAGCAGCTTCCGTGTCTAGGTGGGCCCCCTCTCTGGACAGAGATTTCACACCGGGTCTCTCTAGTGGAAGGGGTTCCGCAGTGGGCGTGGTTACACCGCGGCGGGGACTTTCAGAGCCAGAGCGGGAGGGTTCCAGGATGGGTGGCTATCCCCGGGTGGGCGGAGCTCCCACAATAAGGAGACTCCACACTGGGCAAAGTTCCGTGGATGGGTGTGGTTTCCATGGTGGGCGGGACTCACAGTGCACGTCCAATCGCAGCAGGGCTTCCGCGGTGCCCTCAGAGTTCTGGCAGTGCAGCTGATAGAGGCCGTCGTCCGCGCGGGTCACATTCCACAGATGCAGAGCCCCGCTGGACAGGATGCGATGCCGGGGGCCGCCCGCTGGGGAAGGCCAGAATAAAGGACCTGGCAGGCCCTCCCATTTCCAGGACCCTTCTCCATGCCCACTTCCCTCACCTGGACTGAGGCGATAGCCGCGGAAGGTCCAGTTGAAGGCCTCGGGGGCGGGGTTAGCGGACACGGACACGGGCAGCAACGCCTCACCCTGCTCCACCGCGGTCACCACCAGCACCTGCTCCCCCAGGAACTCTGGACGGTCTTCAGAGGGGGCGCCGCAGGGAGTCAAGATTGTTGTCAAGGTCAGGGTCAAGGACAGATTGGAGATCAGGCACAGGTTCAAGGGTTAAAGTTGGGGGATCACGACAGGGTTTAAGGTTGTGGACAAGGTAACAAGTTCAGAACTGAATTCAGGGGTAAAGTTCGGGATAGAAATTAGAATACAGTTTAGGCAAAGAGTAGAAGCCAGCATCAGGTTGAAGGATGGAAAGAGGGGTCATGATAGGGATCAGGGTTAGGAGAGAGGACAAAGGCAATATGGGAGTGGACAGGATAGGAGTTGGCCCAGGACCACTGGTCAGGATGAAGGTAGGGAGTTTCAAGTTTCAGGATGGGGTTAATGATAGAGTGATAGTGTCAAAGCAAAGACCCAGGCCAGTCTCAGTGGCTCACGCCTATACTCCGAGAACTTTGGGAGACCAAGGCAGGAGGATCACTTGAGTCAAGGTGTTCAAGATCAGCCTGGGCAATATAGAGAGATACCATCTCTATTTAAAACTAAAAGTACAAAATATCAGCCTAGTGTAGTGGGACGCGCCTGTAATCCCAGCACTTTGGGAGGCCAAGGCAGGAGGATTGCTTGAGCCCAGGGGTTCAAGACCAGCCTGGGCAACATAGTGAGGCCCTGTCGCTACAAAAAAATTAAAATAAACTAGCCAAAAGTGGAAGTGCACACCTGTAGTTTCAGCTACTCAGGAGGCTGAGGTAGGATCACTTGAGCTCAGAAGTTGGAGGCTGCAGTGAGCTATGATTGCACCACTGCATTGCAGCCCCAGCGACAGAGGGAGACTCCATCAAAAAAAGAGAGAGAGAGAGAAAGAGAGAGGAA